TTAGCAGCATCCCTGCCCTCTGCCCACTGAACGCCAGGAACACTGACCCCACGCGCCATCTTGTAACCACCAAAATAGTTGAGGCGACTTTGGTAAATATCGTGCTCTGAACAAGGTGAGGAATAAACCAAAAAGCAAACATGGAGGTGATGATACCGCTTTTGTTATTGACAGAGTTGGCTCGGAAAACATAAGTTTAAGCCTGTAAGCCAAGCTCGTTTGCTAAGAATGAACACAGAATGAACAGCAGTCCTGGGGAGGAATGTGTCATCAGGGAGGTAGGGAAAATTGGTACCCTCTGAAGGCAGCTCACTTTCAATGAAGAAGTGCGGGGGACAGGGAGCTGTGCTCAGCATGACCAAATTGTAAACATGTCCACCCCCTTGGATTATGGGTATGCATAATCAAATTAATTACAGTCTTTGGTTTATGACACCCTATAACAACCCAGGATGACCAGCTTTTATTTACTTAGACATCTTGATATTTATTTTAAGGATATAATTTACACCTAATAACTCAGTATCCAAAATAAAGTAGAAGTGCTACAATTACCTATGTCTAATCATCCCATCCTCCTACTTTTCCCTTCTGAAGCACAAACATATATATATATATATTAACCAAAATTATCAACAGCATAATTTCCTTACCTCCCCAGGACAGAATGAGCAAAGCTGATAAAGGGAGGTCAGAAGTGACCTTAAGGAAAAGGCTTCCTCCAAGAAAGCAGTATGGAAGCAAAGGATTTCCTTCTGACAGGTGGTGCTGACGTGTATGTTTCCTTGTTTTATCAGGATACAGGGTGGCCCTTGGAACCGAACATATGCCAGCAAATGTTTGAGAAGCTGATGCCAAGTGTTTAGAACTTGAAGGGCTGTTTCTTTGGATTAGTATCAAACTATTCTTATCAAACGGAGCACGTGATGGTGATACTGGGCACCCACACGCCCGGCAGGTGCAAACCCACCTTCTCACATTGTTCCCCGTAACAGCGAAGTCTCATTTCTCATGCGGCTACACTTTGAATATAAAAAATGTAGACTTCCCGTGGATTAACTCTCAATTTTGAGTTTTGTGATTTTATTTCCTTGTGCAATGGAAAGAGTTCCTTTCAAAAGTAGAAATCATACTATTTTAGAGTTGATCCAATCCAATATCTCCCCAGGGTGTAAGTTAGTAACAAATGGCGCTATAAGGACAGACTCAGGTTTGCAATCTCTTTGCGTAGCACAGTCCGTTCAAGCCATACTTCAGAATCTGGAAAGTGGTAGACAAAGGAGCAACATATGCATGATGCCTGAGTTTTTCTGAGTTGCAAAGGAGCTGTGAGACCAAGTTCCACTGCAAACCACATGATACGACTAAGGTCATCAAGTCCAGGAAGGAATGATAATGAACCCTCACTATAGAATAAGCTCCAGAGCACAGGGGTCTTAGCTGTCAAAATCATGGCTGCATCTCCAGAGCCTAGGATAGAATCTCTTGCACAATAGTATTGTTATTTGGAAAAGCAGAGTCCTGGTGATAAATAACAAGAATCACATGTACTTTCTGAGCACATTCCACGGGTAGTGCCCTGTGCTGATCATTTAATTTAACCTGTGCCACATGTGAATTATAATTACTATCATTACTGTTTTGAAATAATTTGGTGTAGGTCATGCAACTAATAAATACAGAGCAAGGATTGGACCATGTAGTTTCCACCACCCCATCTTCTCATAAGCCAGAAAAAAATGCAGGGGACTTGGCTTCTCGTTTTGGTTATGCCATAGACTGATGAATGCTGTACAGATTATAGATTCTCTGAGCATCAAAGTCCATTTCTTTGAAGTGCTGGGTTCATAGGGATCAAGAAGAGCATATCCAGATAAAAATAATCTATCCACAAGCATTAGATGAGGATACAACAGTATGCTTTGATGTTTTATGAGGTATCTAAAGGAAATGTGCATTGATCTTGATTTTCCCGTAGTCGCTTACATTTTAAATGACTTCTTTGTTTTGTGTGTGTGTGTGTGTGTGTGTTTTTAAATTACTTTGTCATGTTTTTGTAAGGTTACTGTAGGCAATGAATTTCTTCTTTAATGTACATTAATTCCATTAAAAGTAGTATATGCCTAGATTGGGTGAAATGCGACCGGGCTCAGACCAAGATGGAGATTAGATTACAAGCGCATGAACTTGAACAGCTCCCTGCCTGCCTGCTTTAATGCCACAGGTGCAATTTGGACATATTTTTTCCATTAACCTTTTAGTCAGTTCCCTTAGCCCTTATAGCACTATTTAAAAAAGGAAGACATCTGCCTATGTGACTATTAGATTGCAAGTAAACATGCACTGTAATGTGTGAAGAGTAGGTAAGACTTGGAAACTTGGCTCTGCTACTTATTATCTGTGTAGCCTTAGATGTAGCCTTGATTTCTGAGCCCCATTTCACCATTTCTAGCATGCAAACAGTATCGTTTCTCTGACAGTTCCATGATAAGGGCCACTGCTGCTCTTATTATAAACTAAAGCAAACATCAATCACAAGGTCATAGCAACTCATCTTTGTGAAACTGGATACTTTATAGGATGGGTATAATTGGGTAATAGACAGACAGTTTGTTTCTGGTCCATGATGCACAGTCATAATGGTATTGCTGTCATTATCATCAGTTTTATTTAATACAGTGCATGAATAAAACTGTGCACCAAACACTCAAGTCCTTGACAAATATTAACTAATTTCATCCTCATAGCACCCATTTGTGATGTACATTATTAAAACATCACAAACATTGTGTACATTCTTAGGACCTCACAAACGTCTCATGCTTTCTTAAAAAATGTCCTGTTATCCTTTCTGTTTAAGGGTTGAGTAAATCGAGAGCACACATACATTAGGAAGCAACACTGAGTCTCCTACCCAGGTCTACAGATCTGTGTGTGTGTGTGTGCGCGCGTGCGCACGCACGTGCTTGGAAGTGTATGCTGTGTGCACACACAGATCTAGATCAAGTGCTGTTTGGACTAGACTGCTAAAGAACCTGCTTCCAAGCTCCTGTCTTCTTTTGGTGCCACTTAAAACTTTCCTTAACTGCTTTCCACCTGTCATTTTTAGCATGCAAAACACGTGACTGCTTTTTATTAACTTTGATATGGACCTACATTTTAAATACATTACTTGAAATGTCAATCACCAGAGCCCACAAGGTGTGATTTTGGGACAAGAGATTACACACACACACACACACACACACACACACACACGTTTTCGTGATGAACGTACCAAGGCCAAGGCATATCTTTTTTTTCCCCCTTGGCTTAAGGTAGTTAAATGCTGGAAATAGAAAATGGTATTCAAATAACAAGGTACACACTGTCTGTCCTCTGGCATAGGCAAAGGAGCTCACAATTAATTGCTAAGCTACAAAATGTTAAATCATACAGTGAATATTAAATGACATGGAAAATGACAGTATTGTGAGAATTTCCGTGTACTTAAACTAGTGTTTAACTACCTAAAGATGTTCCGTGCGTTTTTGAATTTAAACCCATATTATTTAAGTGATGATGGCAAAATATAACCATGATACTTTTCCAGGCTGACATTTTCTAACTGCAATTATAAATAAAATAATTTGTTCACCTAACTCTTATGTGAACAAGAGAGACTCTGGGTTAACAAGTTGCAATCATCTTCATTAATGAGAAATTTTGCAGCATTAGTACACTGCATTTTTGGTTATCCAGCAAGGATGCATAATAAATTATTCCGGATGGAAGTGTTGCAGAGTTGTTAAAGAAGGAGTTTTTCTGTCGATTCCTTAGGTGAATATTTTTTGAGCATCTACTATCTACACAAATACTAAGGCTACGTATGATACAGTGGGGAGCAGAACGAAACATGGTACTTGTCTTCATGGGCCTTACAATTCTAACAGATGAGACAGGAAATGACAAGCAATTATACATAAATAAACAATTAAATGTACTACTGCAAAGGAGAGGTGCATGGAGCTATGCTCTGCTTTTTGGATGTGTGATTAGGGGAATTAACCAGTCTGGGAAGGCTGGCTGAGTAGCACTGGGTGAAGCTGGGATAATTTTGAAATGCTTGTCAAAAGGCTTACCAAATTCCATACTCTCTAAAGCTGTATCTTCACACTGAGGCATATTCCCTAAAGGAATAATTTGAAATGTATTAAACATTCTAGCTATACTGATAAGGCATACATTATATTACAGAAATATTGGAAACATCTTAAATATTAAAAAAATAAGTGGTTAGTTAAATCTATTATGTTATCAAAAATTATATCTATCTAAATCTTTTCAAAAATAACATTAAAATGTTTTTATTGTATTAAAGATGTCTACATAAAAAAAGTGGTTACAAGATAGTATTTAAAATGGCTTTGCCTTTATCCCAGTCCTATCCTTTCTAGTTACTTAATTTATCCTATGTATCCTATTGACATTTCAAATATGTCAATAATAACTGTCACAATAATAACAGTGACAGCTGCTCATACCAGTTGCCATTTAGCACATTCCAGCCCAGTGCTAAATATTTTACCTCCATTATTTCAATTAATCTCAGGAAAACCAGTGAGGTATTACTACATTTCTTTCTTTTTTTAGTTGTTTTTTCTTTATTGACTTTAGAGAGAGAGGAAGGGAGAGGGAGAGAGAGATAGAAACATCAATGAGAGAGACATCGAGTGGCCGCCTTCTACATGCCCCCACTGAGGATTGGGTCCACAACCTGGGCATGTGCTCTGACCTGGAATTGAACCGGTGAACTCTGGGTGCACGGGTCAATGCTCAACCACGGAGCCACACCAGCCGGGCCATTGATTTCTCTTTGTGTACCAGAACCTTTAAATATGTCAACACATCTATGTATCCCCTATGCAACAAAGAAAGAATCCTCTTAATGCTTGTGCTGTTTACTGTATTTCCTTATTCTCATTTCATCTAATAGAAATTCCCTCATTGTTTTGCAACAGCATTCTGCCAAGAGGGCTGCAGATACGGTGGAACGTGTGTGGCGCCTAACACATGTGTCTGTCCTTCTGGATTCACAGGAAGTCACTGTGAGAAAGGTAACCTGAGCCCTTTTGGGGGGTGGAGGAGGGGAGAAAGAGTTTCTGAGAGAATGGAAGCTCTTTCTCTAGGATCGAAGTATTGACTTGATACATTAAGTTTTGCTGGAGGGCATGGCTCCCCAGTGTGGATACGTTTTGATGACTGTGTAATTGGCATCCTCCCTCTGAAAATAGAGCTTCATGGTCCTCCCTTCACTTTTCCAATATAGCAAGGTTGAGTGTTTCTCTGCCATAGTTTGATGTGTGCCTTTTTAGTGCTAATTAGAGAGAAAGCTTGATGAACTGACCTGCCCCAATTATCAGCTATTGGGGGTAGCATCACACAAGATTATTGGAGTTATAACAATCTGCTGTGTCAACAGAATCTAAATTAGAACCACATGCTCCTTGCATAAAAGCACATTAAGTAACTCCAGCAGCAGGTTTATTGGTGTGCTTGGGATTTTGTTCTAATATTGGCTTAGTAGGAACATTATCATGCCTGATCCTGATAAAATAGGCCAATTGGTGTATTTGTAAGATTCCATGATGTGCATCTTTCTGTTTACAATAAATGTAGTGTTTACACTTGGTGATATCTGGTGAAATCAGCTCTCTTATTAATTGAAGTCCTTCCACTTGTGTGCAGATTAAATTGATCTTCCATGCCAGTGTGCAAGTGGGGGTGTTTGCCACATAAAATTGGACATTTCAGGGTATTTGCCCATACGTTTTATTGGCCTAAAATTACTGTATTGTGTTTTTCTGAGTCTGGAATGTCACACTTGACACTTCTAAAAGTACAGCATAAAAATATGGAAGTACGATGATGTAGTCATTATGTCTATTATTTGATAAGGGAGAGGAAGTCTTCAATACCGAATACGTAAGCAAGGCTCTGCTTTCCTTTCCTTCATATTTAAAGCTTTCAGAATTTAGATAATACATTTTTTAAATGATCCTATTCATTATATCCCCCCTTGTTCTACGTATTACTTTGCACTGCCGGTGTATTTATCCGGCAGCCGATTCTTTAAAAAATAATGTCAAAATGTAACTGTGTAAATTATTCAGCAAGGAAACAACAAACAATATGTGCACCATTATTTCTGTATTTTGTGATATTATCAAGGACTCAAATGACATTTATTAAATAAAAATTATTGGTTTTGTCTTTAAAAGAGACATATGAAAGAGCCAAATACTGCCTCTGAGCGGCCAGAGAAATACCACATGGATCTGGAGAATTCTTGCCAAAAGCAAAGAAATTTAACAGCAACTTAGAACACATGCCCTCATTGCAGGGCATTTGATTTTAATTAGGTTTTCTAAAAACAAAAAACAAATTCATCCAAAGGTTTCTCATTATTTCCTCTAGCACTGCTCTGCCCGCCTAAAATGAGTCCGTAGGAATTAAGAGGGACAAATGGTCATGATGATAGTGTTGATGATAATGGATACTACCAGTAATGATATACCATTTATTATGTATTAATTATGTGTCAGGTCTTTTAAATGAATATTTTAACATGAAGAAAAAGAAAACAAGATAAATGTTGTTACTCCTATTTTATAGATGGCAAAATAAAGCTTAGCTAAGTTAACTAACTTCTGCAATGCTATAGTCAGTATTAGAACTGAGAATGAAATTCAAGTTGTATTTCCACAAAGCTTGCGTTATAAACCCTTGCATATGTTTCTCAAGGTAGTACATGGATTTCCTGATAAATACAGATTCCTGGGCTACCCAGACCTGGTAAATCACAATATCTGGGGGAGGACCCACGAGTCCATGCTTTCACCAAGCACTTCAGGTTGCTTGCTATAATCCAATTATTATTATATTAGTGTGATATTTAATGGGAACATCTACTCTAGTGTTCTTGCTCTTTTTACATTATAAATAATTGGGATAGAATATTGACTTTAGACCTGCGTCTGAGTCAGTGGCAGCCTAGGAAAAACTAATTATGTTTTTTTTTATGGATTGTTGATTTGACTTACATTCTTTTCTCTGCTCAGTAAGCGATTGGTGGAATTAGTGCTTACATTCTGGTTTATTGCCTGAAACAAGAACAGTAGAGATAAAGGAGAAAGTCAAGGCCAGAAGCAAAAGTAAAACAGAGATTAGAAGGACATGTTCCTGTATAAAAGTTAAAGTTGAGATTGAGCATTGCATATTCTTACATTCTTATATAGTTATTATAGATAAAAATAAAAGGAGGTCTCTTTGCATGTGATTCTATCTCCCACCAGTAGCAAAGTCATTCCATTTAATATCGGGCAATATATTTTTAATGAAATTTATTGGGGTGACGACATTGGTTAATAGGATCATGTAGGTTTCAAGTGAGTATTTCTATGGCACATGATCTATATGTTACATTGTGTTCCCACCACCCAAAGTCAAATCATCTTCAATCACTGTAAGTTTGGCTCCCTTTACCCTGTACCACCCCCACTCCCTTCTCTCTGGTAACCACCATACTGTTGTCTGTCGAGGAGTTTCAGTTTTATATCGTACATATGAATGAAATTATATATAGGTTCTTGGCTTTTTCTGACTGACTTGTTTCACTTAGCATAATATTCCCAAGGTCCATCTATGTTGTTGCAATTGGCAGTATTTCATCTTCACCAGTATTCTAATTGTATGTTTTTGTGTGTGTGTGGTTAGGATAAAGTACCTATTTTCCAATTAATTGTATACAAGGGATCTAGAAGAGTTATGGGACAAATACTGAAAACCTATTCCATATCTTGTTTGAATTATTTTGTCATGTTGATCATTAGCAATAAACATTAAGTAATTATATTTGCCATTGAATAGTGATGCTAGATGTCTTGAGACTTGGGATATAAAGGAAAAGTGCAAATGCATTGTAATTGTCTATGGCATGATCACACTAAATCTCTGATTTGCTTTGTTTTAATTTTAGGGCTAACTAAATGGTCCCCTTAGAGCTATATAGAATTTGCTTAAATTGAGTCTTAAAATTATTTCCCTTGGTCTCCCTAGTTACTGGTTTTATTCATTGCTTGTGATATTCAGTCTTTCAGAATTCAAGTATCATTAGTTAAATTATTGAAATAATTTGTTTTAAAAAATGCCTATCTGGGCCAAAAAATCCCACTTATGTTTGGTAAGTAACACAAAGATGAATAGCACTGCTTTTATTTTATGCTGATGAGATTTTAGTAAACTTAAACTCTTCATAACCCCACTCAAGATAGGCAAACATGTGTTTCTGAACAACATACCAGGTTGCTTCTTCTTACCCTTTCTTCTATCTCTGTGCCCTTAGCTTTGATTTGGCTCATATTTCATATCGACAATATAAAGAGAGAGATGAATGGGGAATCAGTAAGAAGTGTAGTTTTGGTACTCTTAGAATAGAAAGCTGTCTTCTTTTTTTTATCCTCACTCGAGGACATTTTTGCATTTATTTTCAGATAGAGTGGGAAGGAGAGAGGGAGGAAAAGAGAGAAACATCAATGTGAGAGAGACACATTGAATGGCTGCCACCCACACGACCTCAACCAGAGGCGGGGACAAACTGTAACCAAGGTACGTGTTCTTAGTGGGAACTGAACCTGGAACTCTCTGGTCCACGGGCTGATGCTCTAATCACTGAACAAATCCGGCCAGGGTTGTCTTCTTTACCTAAGAGAACTGGAAGGATATCATGCCACACTGACCTAACATAGCCAACCACAAAACAAAGTGAAACAACATGAAGCCTTCCTAGAGACTTTCCAAATGTACAATCAAGTAGCTGCAATAAATCCAGAAATATGTTACCTACCATAAAACCAGAATATCATCCTCCAAGAAGTGAATCACATTGTTTTCTACTTGGTGTTTGCAAACAAATTTGCAAACAACAATAAGTAGAGATTAAAGATAAGGTATTAAACTGTGTCTGGTTAGGGGTTTCTTAATGCTCAGCAGCATCAATGGACTCTACCTACTAAATAACATCAGTATTCCAACCCCCAGTCATGACAACCAAAAATGTCTCCTGACATTGCCAAATATCTCCTGGGAGGCAGAGTCACCCTGTTGACAATGCCAGGTCTAGATGTGGCATTTAAAAATTCTTAAAATGTGTGTGTGTGTGTGTGTGTGTGTGTGTGTGTGTGTGTATCATATACATTATAAGCAGTTTTAGTAGACAAAACAAATCATTTTTAAAGCATCTCTTAAGCAATTTTAGAAGAGCATATTACTGTATTTAGAAAATTCTTGACCATTTGAGAGCCAGGGACTGGCTGATATCCACCATATGCTGTATGGGGCACATCTTATGGTCTTGAGGACCAGACTAATGTTGAAGCTGGCCTGTTCTGTGACCTCTCCTCATTGATGGAGTAAACATGTGGATGTTCCAACCCCATGCAAGAACCATGTGACTCTAACTCTTGTGTTCTCCTGCAGGAAGAAAAATTTCTTTATTCTCTTTTTGTTAAGAGAAAGTTTTAAATGTATATAGTAACATGATAATTGTATTTGTTCCAAAGTGCTTTCTTTTTTTTTTTTCTTTTTTTTTATTTTTTTTTTTATCCTCACCTGAGGATATTTTTCCATATTTTGTACAGATAGAGCGAGAGGGAGAGAGAGGAACAGAGAGAGAGAGAAACATCGATGTGAAGGGACACATCGAGTGGCTGCCACCCGCACGACCAACCAGGGCCGGGGACAAACTGCAACCGAGGTACGTGCCCTTAGCGGGAACCGAACCCGGGTCTCTCCGGACCGCAGGCCGATGCTCTAACCGCTGAGCCAAACCGGCCAGGGCCCAAAGTGCTTTCTTTATGCAAGACTTTTCAATTAGTTACTTTTAATAGGAATTTCAACTGCATGAAAGTCAAGGTGGTTATTTGTGGTGGTATAGACCAGACAGCTAATTTTACTGCATTTTCCTACTTGTATATTACCTGAATTATAAATTGGGTAAATACAATTGTATAGGCATCAGGTACCCATAACCAGTACCTTGTGAGTCAGACAGTGACAG